GCTGAAGTGTTAATGAGGCAATTAATTTGGGCAGAGCACCACATAACACAGCTGTAGAATCCAGAGATAAGTCTGAGGGAGCTCTGATCTATTTGTTCCCAAGTGGATATGCATGGTCTCATGCTTCCTACACCTCCTGCAGCCATTATGATATATATTTATGTGCACAAATGTTGCACAATCAAATGGAATTTAACAATATCTTATACATAGGCACACACAGTCTTGAAAGATGCAGAAAAAACCAGCTAAATAAAATGTGCCTCAAGAAAAAAAGGAACCATATTATTTTATATGCAAGTACAAGAAGAATGTACCTTTCCCCAGAATGCAATGCATTTGGAGAAATGTAGCGGTTATCACCAAAAAAAAAAGTGAGATACTAGGGGGAGAAATAGACACAGAAAATCAGAAAGATGACCTTTGATCAGAAAACTGTAGTTTAGGAACAGAATAAAAAGAAAGTATAGTAATACTTATTAATTAATTACTTCTATAGGAGTTATTGATTACATAGGAGTTATTAATTTCTTTCTTTTAATCATTCTTTTAATGATTTTTACAGCATTCATCTTCACCACATGTAACAACAGTCACTTACGCTTGCAGACCTCTGTAGAAGACATGGGTTTCCCTCTATCTCGGTAATACCCCGGTTTGCACCTTTGGCACCGATGTCCCTCTGTATTATGCTTGCAGTTGTCACAGACTCCACCACTGCGCTTTCCCGATGCCAGCCAAACGCTCAGATCAAAATGGCAGCTATCAGCATGGCTGTGACAGCGACACTCTGTTGGGAAACAGGAGAATATATTTCATGCTTGTATAATAGACACAGCAACACTATTCAAATGGTATCGTTTTCCTACTGTGAATCATGCAGGAAATATCTGAATGTAACACATTTCACCTGCCTGAAATTCTTGATTTTCATAAAAACTAGAAATTGCAACACAGAGTAAGAGTCCCAGCAGGGTCTGAGAAGCTTTGGTTGTTGTGAGCTGTGTGGTAATTCTTATAGTAAGACAAACCAATCTAAGCCCTGCACAAAACCCTGGAATGCTAAAACACGTGAGGAGACATAGCTGCATGAAGAACAGATTTCTGCCTTGTAAATTCCACTTCCCAATAGCCCAAATGGGTCTGCTGCAGTAAAACAACATGCATACTGAAGTCTTCCATCAATGACCAGCAACTTAACCCCAGTTTCTTTAATAGGACCATTAGTGTAAATTGACAGAAGTCTTTGTTAGGGAACTTTGCCTGCTGACACCGAAAGTGTTCATCTTGAAATCCTGAAAGATCAGTAAACTCCCTCCCACTTACTTTTGCATTCATTGGGAGCTCCTGTTTTTCCATCTCCTGGCTTCCAAGGCTGATCATTGTATAGCGGTGCACATTTCTCACAGTGGTCCCCTGCTGTGTTGTGTCTACACACACACTTCCCATGGACCTGTCAGGGGAAAGAGAATACATTCAAATAGCTACAAGCAAGAACATGGTGGACTGCTCAACAGCCTCAAGAGGAGGTGGGACTTCTGCACAACTCCCGCACAGCTGTGTGGCTCTCTTAGGAAACCCAGAGCCTGGAGCTCCAAGGTGTAGCTTTCTCTCTTCACACATTAATGATGGAGATTCTTCCTCTCTCTTCCAGTTTAAGTCCATGTGGCAACAATCTCTTTTTAACTCTCCATTGGCTATTTTACTACTACATTGATGAACAGCCTCTAGACTACTTAAATTGGCTGAGCTAACACAGCTTATTTTGATTACAAGTTCAGGACAAGAGCATGCAAAGAGCTGAGCAGGTAGTCACCTCCAGGCAGTGTCAAATACACCCTCAGCTAGTAGAGTTGAGCCACAGGAGAGCACAGTCTAAAAAGGATGCTGGACCCTGTCTTATTGGACATTAACAGTGGTCTGGGAGAATAAATATAGGACAATGAAATCACCATGAATTACTAAATTATAAATTGTTAGACAAATAAGCAAGTAATTCTGGAGCTCCTAGCACAGTTAAAGAGTAGCAAAAATATTAAACCTGGAAAAATAGCAACCTGTATATCTACAGAAAAACAAACCAATCAACATGCTGTGAGAGGAAAGCATTGATGTTTGAGGAGACAGGTTCAGTAGGAACCAACCTACCAACTTACATATGAATATACAAGGAATAGGTTACCAGAAAAGGCCTAGTAAAATTTTGGGCTGTGTAACTCAGGGCACTGTTACTCCAAGTGGATAGGAATCTGCACCTGCAATACTGTGTTCAGTTTTGAACACCTTATTACCAGATAAATGAGAAATTGGAAGATGTTCAACAAAAATGAGTAAAAGCTCGCATGGCTGAGGAATGGGGCTCATGTACCAGCACTAAGAATATAAACCTACCTAAGCCAAGAAACAATTTACAGAATATTTGAAGGGGAAACAAAGAAGTGCAAAAAGTCTTGACTAAACCTGTCTGAATAGTAGAGTTCTCGCTGTGACTATTTGCTTGAAAAATTACTTGAGAAAAAGAACTTGCTTCCTCTTTACTTGTCTGTATTCATTGGAACACAATCATGATTTTTTGTCATGGAAATACTCTACTATATGTCAGTTTTGGAATCAGGTATTCACACGAGAATCCTGAACTTGGAAAATAAGCCAGTCCAGCCTTCAAACAGAAAGTTACTATTGAAGGCCAGGTTGGATGAGGCTTTGAGCAACCTGGTCTAGTGGAAGGTGTCCCTGCTCATGGCAAGGGGGTTGGAACTGGATGATCTTTATAAGGTCCCTTCCAACCCAGACCATTTTATGATTCTATGAAACTGATTCTGTTCCCAAGTCACTTCACACACCAGGAATATAAGAGCCAGTTCCACTATAGACTGTAATCTGATGCACAAGATTCTGTAATATCAAGCTACATCCAAGAAGCACTTTACAGGACTTTTTTTTTTTTTGTTGTTGTGTTTTGGGGTGTTTTTAATTGGGTTTTTCTGGTTGGCTGGTTGGTTGGGGTTTTTAATTAGTAAAAAGATTCCAGTGCCTGTTTGCAGTGCCTTAGAGAAAGGATGCCCCGGATAAATTATTTGGGGAAATATCCAGCATAGGGAGATGGAAAAAGAGAAAGGTGGGACCACAGGTCATGTTCTACATTGATCACAAGAGAAGCTGGTAATTAGTGGCATTTCACATTCAAGATGACACTTGTACTAGATCAGAAAATGCACAGAAATCAGGGACTAGACCCCTCTCCCTCCATGTGCTGTTGAGGATGCCAAGCTCTGTAACACCACTGTCACAGCTCTGGCCACTGCACGTTACACAAAAAGCAGAGGCTGAGATTTAATTTTGACTGGGGTGTGAATTGAATCTAATCCTTTAATCTCACCACTAATGTGAGTTATGTTCTCCATAGTCTTTCCTGAAAGTCAGGCTCTCCCTCTGCAGTGCCCCCTCCCCCATCTCATGTAGCAGGTAGCTTGGGATCAAGAGAGAAACGTTCAAAAGAGCAGTTGCACGAATGCGCTCCCCTGCCCCCAAATCCATCTCCCTGCAGCAATTTGCTCTCCGCTCCCCTGGTTTCTAATCCTCCCAGACCAGATCTGTCATGTAGCTAGCAAAGGGGACAGGCTGCAGCTGATGCCATCGCCCCTCCATGGCCAGCTGGCAGATTTGCTGCTGCACAGAGCGGTTGGCTGCCTCCTCACGGAAGACTGAGCACAGACTTCAGGGTATGCATTTCTGTCAGAGCTCAGCACCAGCAAGCCTCAGGAGGATACAGCATGTAGCACATTATGTGATGCCTCTTCAGACCTTTGTACAAGAAAGTTGTCCATGTTCAAAGCACTAAATAGGATGACAAATTACAGAGACAAAGACAACAATACTAATAAGCAACAGTGTTGGGCTTCTCCCTCTTTGAGTTTGGCTCTTCGGGATTGTAAGTTCCCCCTGTGGACACAGTGAATGCTTTTCAGAAGCCATAAAACAGAGAAAAGGACCAGGAGTGGAGAAAGATAACATAAGGCCTGACCCAGAAGCATAGATTTTAATGTCCCCAAACTTCAGCCTACATGAACTTTACAGCTCATTTCAAAATAGACCAGAATGAAAACCTTGTATCCAGTCCCTTCTTAGGAAAATGCTAGTGTATGTCAATGCAAAATCTGTAAGTTGGCCCATTGGGTTTTTTAGAGGTACATACACAAACTCTACATTCACTTTATACAAAAATATTATGTGAAAGAAATGCTGAGATTGTACAGTTGGGAAATGGCAGAATTAAACCATCCGTAATGGTTTAATTACAATCCTGTTTTAGCTTTGAATGACATGATCAAATATTCATTATTCCACAGGACCCTGTGCTTACAGTGCACGGCACAGATGGTGTGAACACTCATGAACAATTATTCAGAAACTAAACAGGAAAATTCAGTGAGAAAGAAAGAGTCTGGTTGTTCTCTGGAGGTGAGTAAAGTAGATGTGTTAGTTTACTCATTGCCCATTGGTTTGTTGCAAACTGTAGGTTGTGGAGGCTATCTAGGAATGGCACATTGTGAGTAGGACAGAGGCATAAAGGAAACTTCCTGCCTGTGATCCCTGCTATTGAACAGTTTACCAAATCTATGTGGAAAGATGACTGGCTTAGACAAAAGGGTTGAAAAGCCAAGCAGCCAGCAGACAGGAGAGCCAGTGAGCAGGCAGAAGTAAACAGCAGGGCTGGCATGGAACTTTATTTTAGAGTTTGTTAAGTCTGAGGACTAACCTTTTTTTTGTATGGGGTTTAAGAACAAGGAAAAGAGAATTGATGGGTATTGGGGCAAAGGTAAAGGATGAGGGAAGAGAAAGCAAGTCTACCATGTGTTATCTGTGGATGGGTATCTCATGGAACATTTTTTTTCCATGGACAGTAATCTCAGACAGCATTCATAGGTGAAAACAACTAAGGAGGAGAATGCAACATGAGGTGACAATGAAGTACAGAAAAGAGTTGGATAGGAGAAGAGAGCAGAGACAAACAGCTCAGGTAGAACACAGACAAGAAAGGTGATTCATGGATGTAAGTGGACATTGCAGAAAGACTGGTTAATACAGGAAAAACTGAGCTGAGGAAAAGACCTGTTAAACTTAAGTTTGAGGTGAAATAAGGGCAGGTGAGGTGGCTGCAAGTAATGAGACAAACAATTTGTTCTGTTAGAGAGGAAGAAATAGGAGAGGCAGCCAGAGACCAAAGTCCAGGAAGGAACAAGAATGAAATACAGGAAGCTGTCAGATAAAATAGGAAATGAGATACCTGCTTAGGGAACAGAGAATGCGAGAGTCACACTCAACATCAACATGAAGAGAGCAGGTATGTCCCTGACTGTTGCTCACTACCAAAATAAGCCCACATATCTCTCACACAAAAATGGGTCGAAAAAAATAGAGGATTGTGGTCTCTACCAAATGCAAGACCTCAGGATGCACCGGGTCTCACTGGAACACAAAGATGATCATGGCAAGGTAGAGCAAATAGAGAAGTACAGATTCAGGGGAACTACACTGACATTTTTCTATACCCTAGAAAGCAGGGTCAGAGTTGTGAGGAGATAACGACGATTAAGATGATTGCCAGGGAACAGCAAAAACCAGTTGCTCTTTAAGGGCTGAAGAGATATAAGCTGAGGGTCACCACAGCACAGGCTGTGCACTTACTGGGGGGCATCATCCCGAGCACTGTGGGCAGAGCAGGGAGCTGGTACCACAATCCATTGACAGCCCCAGATACTGCAAGGGGATGGATCAGGGGCAATTCAGGAGCAGTACGACAGGCCCGGGCAAAATCTGATTAGAAAACTGGAAGCTTGATGCAGCCCAAATATCAGTATTTAAAGTAACACTTTTAATCTTTCAGAACTCATAGCATGCATTAGTGACATGAGCAACCCTGGTGGAATGCACTCAGAAAGTAAGACTGCAAGAATACAAACTATTACAGCTCATGCACATAGTACTTCAGGCTGGTTTTATGAAAGGGGGAGGTTTATATGATCACACAGTCTGCCTGCCTGCCACGGCATCTATTTCTCTGATCCATTCCCCACAATATCTCTGAAAGGCACCATCCAGTTTAAAAAAAAAAAAAAAAAAAAAAAAGTCAGAACAACTGAACTCTCAATACAATGATGTTCCAATGAATGGGAAAGATCCTCAGAGACAACTAGAGTTATCACAGTAATGAGGAGAAGCAGATGAAAGAAGGTGTCATAAAAATAAATTCTGTGATATTTCTGAAGTACTCAATTACCACAGCAATGAGCACTGTGGAAAAGTCTATACAGGCCTAAATACTTTTGTACCTAAGGACCAGTATATGTCAAGTGATGCAGCATCACATATTGAGCATTGAAGATAAAGTAAAATATGAGAGATGTGAGACACAAATCTCCTGGATCTCAGTCTTTCTCCTGCTGTACCAAT